CTTATACATAGTATTAGTTTGATCGCAGAAAGTGTCATCTCGGAGTCTATATTCTTCCACTATCACAGTATATCAGTTTCATCATTCGTCCTCCTGTATTCTATTAATATTTTTATAACAAAGTGGAATTCCATTTCTCAGTCTGGACCACTTCATCTTACTTGTCTATCTCGGTATTTTAATTCGACATATAATAAGAACGTTGATGGTTCAATTTATAATCTAAGCAAGATGACCAAGCAACTTTTCATATTTAATGAGGCACTAAATGCCGGGCGGTATGTCTCTCATGTCGGTTATTACATTGCAAATTATGCTTCTGGTCATCATCCCATATAAAATGTTGTGAACTAAACTAAGTAAGGCTAGGTAAATTGCATTTTGTTTAAACTGGATGTGTTATTTATAAAATTTTATGTCAGCTATCTGTGGTAAATGCATCGGGTCTGAGATTAGCTTCAAGCAAATTTTAAAAGGATAGAATAGACTTTATTTTATAAGAATTTTTTTCATGGTTTTTTTCTTTGTCTAAGTCATAAAAAAGTATGCACATGAAATTCGTTTATCGTACACAATATGTAACAATAAAATAGCGAAATACTTATGTTGGACTGATATTGGGTTTCCGTAATACAATTTTTAATGATATAATGTTATAAAATCTTAAGTAGGAGTAGAACCTGATTCTAAACTGCTTCTACTGCAGTACTGAGGTACATTTACCCTGGTTTAAATACAAGCAAAGCAGCTGAAGTCATACTGGTATGTCGTAAAGGTATGGGATGCAACCGCCACTCTCTACGCAAAGGATTCGACATCTTAGCGATATTGTCGTAATATTATGTTTTATTTTACTACTTAAATAACGACAAACGAATGATGACTATAGTGTTATAGTACAATCGGTGACCTTATCTTCCAGACAATCGAAAGTTGGGCTGAACAGTTACATAAAAAGGAACCTTAGTCGTTTATTCACCAAAAAGATATATTAGAATAGTAAAATGAAACGAAATATCGCCGTAACATCTAATAACCTAATGACATCGCTAGAAGTTAAGCGGCTTAGTACAATACAAAAAGTTTATATTCTTTATCGATTCCTTGTCCAAAGATATGGGAACTCTTTGAACAACTTTTGACAATAAACTTACGAACAATGTTGTGAATGTCTTTATTGGGTATGTGCACGACTTCAGCGACACTTAGCGGCCGCAAACTTGCGAGTTTCGATGCTTTTGAAATTAAATGTATTATTTTAGACAAAATATTAAAATCAACAAAAATAATTTATATTACAAAACTACTGTGATTCTGTGATTTGGGTGGACAAAGGGTTGTTCAATTGTTTTTAATAATTCAAATTAAATGCGGTAGCTATATTTTTTTGATTACATGTGTCAGAATTTTTATAGCTCATTTCTATCTGCAATTTTACTGTATAATAAGATTTTAAAGCACTTTTGACGCTTTCATTAGATAAAAGTAAACATGATATATATAATTGTTTCTGTATCCTTAGTAATAAATGAAATATGGTTTCTATAATCGAAATAGGTATTATTCTGAGGAATCGCTTACAATATAAAATAAAAACTTTGATACCTTACAATGCCTATATTTAAAAGTAGGTTATTAATCTCCGTTGGAACTCTTAATCAGTATGACTTAGTTTTAATTTCATTTAATTGCAACTAAATACAGCATAAAGTGATAATTGATAAAATCAAACATAAAAATTATTTTTAGTCATTGTATTTAGGGATGTAATCGATCTGTATGTTATTTAATTTTAAAATTATATATGGAATGTGATGTTGGTTTGATAAAAAAAAAAGAAATATCATTAAGAAAAAATTTATTTATTGTTTTATCAATTCATATACTTAGAATTAACAAAATCATTAATTTAAGTTTTTTTGTATTATAAATCAAGATCAATAAACATTTTTCACATTGGAAAGAATTAAAAGTACACAGGATGGCATAACAGAGCTCGCAATGTTTTTACTTTTGACCGCCATGAACGCTGCCATATTTACGTTACCACCACCGAGTACTTCGCACCCAGCGAATAGCCTCAAACAACATTTTGTAAAGCAATGTAAACTTATGTATTTATGTGCGTTGTTAGTGTTCTTAATAAGTAAATACCCATGCTTCTGACCCCACATAGATGTCGCTAGCTGAGATGCGCTTGTGCACAAACGTGATATGGCACCGGTTGCCACATCGTTTGCATTCACCATAGTAACTAAATATTACCATAAATGTCACGGAATCGATGCGAAATATTAGTCGATTATCATATACGTATATTGTTTAGTTCGTCAATTTTTAATTAGAATTTTAATGTCGCCTTAAATAAATAAAAAATGCGTCACTAATTAAAACATATCTAATATTCATAATAGTCAGTTTTTTAAGCGTTGCTCGTTGCGCCGGAATTTTGTCAATATTTTGAGACGTTTTGCAACGAGACCCAACGCATCCGACAGAACTCAAAATTATTTGTAAAATATGTAGTATCTCTAAGAATAACTAAAAATAAACTCTTACGAATTTGTCACCTGAGGTCGTATTTTTTTATGTCCTGGAATGAAATTCGGAAAATTTCAAATCGTTTTTATAAAATCATATCCGAGAAGACTGCTATTTATACACCAGGGGCAGGCCATTGGATCATAAATTAATTATATGAAAATCGATTCCTTCAGTTTGTGATACTAAAGGGGATTAGTAATTAACTGAATAGGTGCATAATTACAAAATCTATTATATTGCAGCGAAATCGCGCCCAACTATAATACATTTTACCTAAAGTTGCGTCATGTACTCCTTCAAATGTCAAATGAAGATTTAGCATTCTATGGATGGAGATGGTAAACGTTTTGTTTGTAACTTGTGTTGAAAACAAATTACGTTACAATCTCCGTCTATTATAAAACAAAGACCATAAGGAAAGGCAGCTGATAGTTTTACAGTGCCACTACAGTTTCAATTTAAGGCCACGGACGAGTAGGCAATATTTTTTATTTATTTGCTCCGCGCGCTGGGCAGGGCTCATATAATAAAGCAAATTTAATTAATGAGAAAAACAAACCATACCGCGACTCAAGCTATACCTACCTATATGCCGCCAAATATTAGGTATAATATTAAATAAACTTCATAACATTAAATAAAATACGACGCAAAAATAATTTTAACTAAATCTTATTGGCTATAGACATTTTCTTTTTATTATAGTCAGTCGGAGTGCAATCTACTTAACTAAGGAGGTCGGCAATTATAAGCATTGACATATGAGATAGACAATTGAGTTGTATATCAAAACGAGCTTTTTACGTGTCTCTATATTTATTTTTAGTACCATACAGAGAACCCTTGCTTGCTTGCATGTTATTACCAGTACAAAAGATCTAGTCATAGAGTTCTGAAAAGATATGTGGCTCCATGTATGATTTTCGTCAAATTTTGTAACTGAATTTTAAAGTTATCCTCAACTTAGTTCCAACATTTTCAATCTAATATTGCAGCCTAGTATTTTTTTATGTGTCAATTATGGTTTGGATATTAAATAAAAGTGTTTTTCTATGATCGACATGGTTTATTGATCCAATAGGGCAGATCACCATAGACGTTAGATCTCTTTACAAACTCTTAATATATGGATAACAAAGGAAAGAATTTGCTAAGAAGATAACGATAAAATAACCAAAAATTGTTTAAATGCTCTACAAAACTAAAAAATAACCTGTAAATAAACCGATTCCACCATTTCACTGAACAAGACAAAACTCTTTGAAGTTGATTTAGGGTAGGGTAGTGGACGTGAGTAAGTACTCTCTTAATTAATTGATACGTTTGTTGTCTATCTCGCTCTAATTTACGTATTTAAAGGCGTAGTAGATGAGGTTTGCGATATATCTAATATAGGCTTTAAGAGTACGACACCTGCCTCGCACTTTGAAAAAATAAAAACAGCGCGTGTATATTCCATTTAATTACCCTTACTTATTGTAGCTAGTATTGGTCGTAAAACTTAATAGTTAGGGTAATTTTTCACCTTATCTATACATCATGTATTCATTAACAATGTTCCATTATTTCTCTCTTACGATTCAATTATAATTAGGTGCATTTGTAACAGCTGAATTTATATATCCACATCATATTTAAGATCTATTGTCTAAACGTTCTCATAGTCGTAGCTAAATTGGAATCGTCTTGGTATTTATACTATAAAAGGTCGTACTAAATGTCAAATGTCTCAACATTTTTTAACACTTCGATATCAATGACAAGCTGCGTTTTGTTTGCGAAATGGAAGCGTGAGTTCCTTTTTCTTTGTTAGCGTTAGATAGGTGAGGTTACTTTGCTACTTAAATATTTAAAAAAAAACTGAAGAAGGTTTCGATATTAAAAAAATATGCGTGTTACGATTGATAAAAGTTAAAGCAGTGAATTAGGTGTATTTGAAATACAATAAAATGTGATCGATTTTCTTTGTTAATCCTTCTAGGACACCTACATACTCCTATTTCCAAATCTCCCCTACACCTTTAACTTTCGCATGAATAATAATACGTGTTGTATATATTTTCAATCGACAATGAAGATGTTGGTGATAATTAATTTATATTCTTTGTATATATTTGGCGATGAATGGATTATACGATATTACAGTATTTCTAATAAGTTCATAATAAAAATAAAGAAGGTTGAGGCCAGGTTGTTTTTAATGAAAACCACAGATGACATCACTGCAGATGTATATTTTTGTTCTCGCTGAAGTTGTTTTACATTTGTTTCATATTCTACATTTGTAAATGACAGTTACTTTCCAACTGAGAATTTTGAATGAAATTGCCAAAAAGGTTTGCGTAGCAGTTCACCATCATGGCCCTCTTAGACTGACACAGTGAGTAATTTTTAGTAACGCATAAATTGTGTAGTATGCTGTATAGAAGGGTAAGTACTTTTGGGTAAGTTCATACCTGTAAGCATGGACGTGTACAGGACAACCGGTCAACGGGTTGTACAGCAGCAGTACACATGCCACCACGTCACCTTGGACCACTGCGCTGGTGATGCTGCCATGAGGTATGAAGTGCTTGATCGTCTGTTGTTTGCCTTTGGCTGTCACATTCTGGATAATCTTCAGACCTTTGTGGGAGACCTAGAATAAGTAATTTATAATTATATTATGAAGCTGCAGTTTGGATGATTTTACTATTGGATTACGTTATGATGTGATAAATAAATAATATTATGAGATATTTCGGTCTGGACGCTAATTTATAAACACTTTATCGTGTTGTTTATTTTAACTTAACATTTAATTTGTAAGACGAATTTGAAGTCGCAGTAGTTAGCGCGTTCAGACTGCAATGCAGGGGTTAAGTAACACTTGTAAGGGCTGGTCAAAGAATGGATGATAAAAATTTATTATCTCGAACTTCTTTGTGCTGTGGGACCAACGTTAAGCCATGGATCCTCTACACCACTGAGCTACTCGACTTAATATATAATTAAAAAGTATAGATTCCTTTAGATGGGGCACAAACCTAAATGATGAGAGAAAGAAGAAATTTTTTAACGCTTAGGATTGAAGCTTGCCGGTCTTTATGGGATTTGTTCGCAATTGCAGTCCGACTTTTCATAATTTGTTCGAATAACATTCAGTTTACCAGTTTTACAAATAAAGAGTCATACACATGAATGTTAATGGAATTACATAACAGCACAACGTTACGCTGAAATCGGATCTCAGTTGTAATTTAATTAGAATAGCTCTGATATTAGGGCTGATAATACTGATTTTGGTATGAAATTTGCTTTTATTATCACTAAACTTTTATTACGTTTGAAAATAGGTTTATTTGATTAAACCTCTATGCTATTACAGCGCTAAGCTCGACGTCGAATTGGATGCTGTTTTTATGACAGAATACAGGATATGCTGCAAGATTATTATGTCGCATAAACTACGATTGATATTATTATAAATTGCAATGTTTAATATGAATATAAATCATTATAATTTTATAGAAAAAAATCTCTGTGTTATGTTACCATTTTAATAGTACCACGTTAAATTACCATTTTAATAGTTCAATTCAAGGATAACTGTTATTCAATACTTATTTTATGGTTATGAATTTAAACATGTTTTCCTAATGATTATTTTATTTTGATTGGAATGCATACTAGTATTACGAGCAATAACATTATGTGTTTGTTATAAAATTAAAGAAAAAACTAACGTATAGATATATTATTTATTTAATACAACATAGCGTAATTTATGTACGATTACAGCATTATAAACTTTTGCTATGCATTCTTAAATTTGCTATTATTTATCTTACAGGAAAATATTTCAAAAAAATCAACTGAATCCGGTGTAAATAATACCTATCAACCTTTTGTCTAAAAGGCAAATTCTTTAACGGAAGCAGTTGTAAGGCTAATCGAGTCAAGTTCAGGATAAATGCCTGATAAATGCCTTTTAGTATCAAGTTATTACTTATCTGGAATCAGTAAAATTACCCTACGACAGCTATGAATCTAAAAGATGAAATGATTTCAAATAACTAAATTTTTAAGGATAATCGATATAGCATGGGTGACAAAATATTGATCAATTATAATATTTTCATTTAATTAGTTCATTACAAAGCTTAGTTTGAATAATAAGATTTATCAGTGTATTATTATTTGTTAAGCCACAGCCCTACTGTTAGGAAGTTCAAATGGTATTATGCAATTGTTACCGACGTACTGCATGCCACTTCTGTACAGAAATAAATCAATTAGAACATTATAAATTACTTTCTCTGACCCTTTTCTGTCGCATTTCTGAAGCACATTAGTAACCTTTTGATATTTCTCTAATGTCTTTTATAGAAAATTTGATTGGCATGTTTTGATAATGAATAAAAGGGCTTTGAACATTCTGTGCTTTTGGAGTTACCAACATATTATTTATTTTTTATTAAGGAGGCCAATAAAAAGTGCCTTGATTTTATTATAATGAAAGGAAATTAACATCTACCGTAGCACCGGTAATTTGATAGATAAAATAGTCACGATCATTATTTATTCAAACTTTTTGTCATAAAAAGTGTTTTACGAAAAATCTTCAATAATTCTTCGCGTCTCAAGAGTTGTCAATGTAACTGTTACTGACTGATGCTTTGATTATGGCAGATATTTAATCAAAGAACTAATTTGAGCTATAAAGCGATTCTTTTATTTACATTAATGCATGTTAAGTGATTAAAAGTTATTTTAGGTCAATCTATGTAGTCTACATTTTTCTTAGAACCAACATTTAGTACACATTTTCATCTAGATTTAAAATAAAACATTGATGGCTGGGTGTGTGCGGCAGTTTAAATTCTAAACAACTTTCCTAGTAGCAAGAAGAAAATCTGTAACATCCTTAGCTATCTACATGGCGCTGAATTTTTTTCATGACTTTAATAAGATATGTAAATATAAGATATTTTCTATCCACGTTAAAGATTATCAACGTCTAATTTTAAAGTCCACGTAGACGAAGTCATAGCAAATAATGTAACATAATTCAGCCTATGGAACGACTTCGTGATACACATTTAGATTTCTCCCCCGACTCAATCGATATTTCATCGCATTCGATTGATGGGAGCTTTCGATCAATTTTGCTCTATAAAGGGCAATCGTAAATGTGTAATTCATATAGTCAATTTATTTTATAATATAAGAAATACTTAGATTTAGTAACACAAAAATTTTTTACTTTTGTTTAGATCAGAATATTATGGAGTTCTTATCTTTTTAAAATTTAAGTTTCTTAGTTTGTTTTTATGACATTTTATTTTTGGTTTTAAGTTGTTTTGTATTTAGAAAATACTATATTATTTTCATTTTAAATCGGATATCAAAAACAAATTCATGTTTTTTATTTACCAAATGGTAAATAAGATATATTGCTTTCATTATTTTTAAATGTCAATTAAGGAGATATTGTTCCAAAATGATATATTAAATAAATATATCACTTTTATAAATAACAATGTCCTCATTTACACTATGATTTCCACAATATTATTAACTTCTTTATTATATATTTTTTTAAAGGAACAAACATTTTGATTTAGAAGTAGCTCTATATACTTGAATTATTTTTAATTCTACTTGAATTCGTTTAATATCCACAAAATTTATATCAGTGAGATCTCACTTTTGATCTGTCTTTAATAATTTTACTTACTTGTAAAGTGACTTTAAACGGTTCCAAGTCCCTTGCTCTCTCTTCTAATATCCTGATGGCTGGTATAGCAAATTCCTCGCCACGTAATCCACGTGACTCCTGAGCACCGAGGAACCACACATAGTATGATGCTTTCTTAATATCCTTTTTTAATCTTAACGCCATTTTGATGTAGCTCTTATGTCATTGTTGAATATCTGAAACAAAAGACGGAAAAGGATTAATAATTACTTCTTGTGATAGACTAAAACTGATGGGACCAATAAGGGACGAAGTGTTACTAGGAGATTTTATTTATTCGCTTCTTCTTATGTTTAGGTTTGAATGGTAACAATATTTAATTTATTTGTTTAATCTTGTCTATATCACAGAACATAACTCTATGTTCTGTGGTCTATATATATCCATATAGTATTGATGAAGTAATGTAAAGTTGGCGGTTATATTTATACCACCCCATCACACGCATGGTTCGCTTGTATATGTTAAATAGGGGTTATTATATTATTCCTATTTCCTTGTCGAAACAATGTATGAAAATTTGTATCTGCCACTTAATTATAATATATAGGTACCTACATATTATATAGTACCTACTTCTGAAATTTCCGTTATTTACAAATGTGTTCATATTCTTATCTTTGCGAATTCCCAATTAAGAAAAGACATTTTTAATAATTCAATAATATTCTCAATTATAATTAACACATTTTTTTGCGGCAGTTAATTACGTAACGTTATTATTCAAACGTACTTCAACATCTTATAAATCAAAGTCAGCATACCAGTTACGCGATAACTTCCACTGCTACATACCGATATTAATCTGATACATATCGAATTGAAAGTATCGATTAGCGAATACTCATAAACATTCCTACAATGGTTTATTTGATCATCTGTAAAATAACTCTAAGGACCAATTAAAGTGGAAAGTTTATGGTGGCTTTGTAAAAGTGATGGGTTATTAGATAACTTAACGTTTCGACGGCCTTGTTATTGATATTTTGTCGACAATATTTATATTGTATATGTAATGGTTTCGAATTTTAGATGAGGTTCTTTATGCTTTAGGGCTATTTTCGTGTATGGCCTACCATACAGAAAGTCCATTAAAAAGGTTTAAGTGGGTATGATCTTGAATTTTGACTAAGGGGGCTATTCGGCGTGGGTCCGCAGGGGGAAATCCCCGAACTAAGCTTAAGTAGGGAAGCAAAGTGCATATCGTTTATCTAACGCAAGATAGCGAGTTGCATTGTTGTAAAAATCCGTTCCCGTCCTTTTTTGTATCTCTCCTTCCGACCGTCTGAGAGCTATTTTACCCAGAACTATTAGACTGATTGTGTTGAATGCCTGATGCTAAAAAAATCGGTAAAAAGTTCTTAATTATAAAATTAATAGTTTTGATGTTATTTAGTTGAACATCTTTCGCCACCCTTATCTTCAAACACTTAAATTTAGAAATATAAAGGAGTGTCCAATTAAATTATTTACCATCATCTATCTCTATTTTATTTCGTCCCATTTCCTCTTCACCTTTACATTAAAACTAGTTTTTATACGTGACTTGACGTAACCAAACATTTCGTATAATTTTTATATTCAAATATTACACATTAAAATTCTGACGTGGTAAGCACTCGTTGACATATTGCCCATAACTATTTGCAACTATTACAAAATAAGGGCACTGGACACACCGGGTGTTTGTTTTCGTACCTATCTCACGCTCGCGTTGCATAAATGTTCAGACCTTGAGTTACATTTTAATTACCGAAACACAATCGACTTGAGTAACGCATATTTTTGGATCTCTTCTTGCCCGTCAAAGCTTACAAATTAAGATTTCAGTGTGAACCTATTCATTTTTTGTGTGAAGTTTAATTAACCTTTAATATAATTGCCTTAATTTCGAGATTAAATAATGAGAATATGATTTGTTCATTTAACGTATAAACAATATATTAAAGACCAATTTCTGTAATCAAATTTTGAGTATAGTTATCGAAACGTTAAAGCTAAAATCGATGGGATAAAACCGACTTGACGTGCTGTCGATTGTACCATTTTATAATTTAATTATTACGGTACTTTAGCTTGCAAATAATTAATTATACGTGTAAAATAATTACCCGCCCACCCTCTTTTCGCACAGCAGCAATTTATATAGTAGTAAACTTTAAATCTTTAATACTTATAGTCATATTTTACTAATTATAGCTAAATAAATAAAATCATTAAATAAATCCCATGAATTAGTATGTCCATTCACTCATGTTATCCTAATGCTTTAAACAAAGGTTCATAGATAGATACATACAGTCCTACAATAGTTCTGAAATCTCCGGTCTAAAATTAACAGAGACAGCTGAACCTACGACCATAGGTCTCTGACCACCGGTCATTAAACTGTATATGACTAAAGGCAGGTCAAGGTCGTCTGTAATACTCATGAGAAATACAGACTAAGATCAAATGTCAGGACGAAAGACATACTTTGACATGCGCATAAAGGTAATAATCACATTTTTATATTGCAAGATTAGGACAGAGATTTTGTAATAATGGCGCAACTGTATTCGATGAAGTTTTTAGTTTCTAATATTAAAACTTAAAGCCTACCGTTGATTAGTCTAGATATAATTTATTTAAACAAATTAATTCAGTCTAGGTAAGTCAGTTAGTAGGTATACATAAACAATTGGAAGAGCCTAAACGCTTCGTCATTGGTTTGCGATACGAGAAATGTTGTGTATTAAGATGAAACGCAATCTCAGCAAGAGCATGACTTCCATGAAATATAAAATTCTCAATTCTCATCATTTTAATTAAAACATAAATGCAATAATTAGATGTATACATAAATTTAAAATAGGAATTTTATAATCAGCAAGGAAACGATAGACGTGTGTAAAAAATACCTTGTCTTGTGGCATTTGGTCCTTCCTTGGTCTTTTATGTCACTAAATAAGACATTACCAATTATGGTTTTCTTAGAATACGAAAAACACAAAATTATGTCATTTATAATAACCGTTTTTTACATAAGGAATAATTATGATTGCTGTTTTTATTTTGTTACATTACAAATAATGATAATGTTAAAATGTGCAGAGTCCCGTTCGAGATGATGTTGCTACTAATTTTAATTCTGTTGTAACAACACATATGTAATTTCTTGAAAGATGAGAATTTAAGACTAATGGTTGATTCTGCTACATTTTTTTCTTATTACGTTACGTGTATAAAATAGTTTTAATGTTGCAAGTAATTTTTGTAACACAGATAAAGCGTGGAGTGAAGCACGAATCTCTTGCGCAAATATATTCGTAAGCGTTTGCATGAAATTTGAAACCGCCAGTTTTAGGGAACTTAAAAAATGCATTGCTAGTTTTCATATTTGAAGATTGCAGTGATGACTAGTGTTGTTGCAATAAAAAGTTTCACTATCGATAGTCGACCTTGAAAAACAGAAGACACTGTTGATAGGATCATCGCCACTACCGGCTCTTTTCAATAGTGTCGAGATGCAGACGACACAGGACTATATACGTATTGTCCGATCGATTTATGTTACTTTTTACAAAATGTTTTATAGTTGCGTCAGATGTATGCTTAAAACTTATGAATAAATACAAATACATAAACATTTCATCATAAGACACAATTAAGAAAATTGTCTCGCAAGTGTGGAATTTTGGATTCACTACACACTACATACTTTTTTCATTACCTTAGTTAAAATAATATAGGTGAAGAAGTCTATGATGAGCCACTTAGACCAGATGTTGTTTTCTACATTATCTGACCGGATAATGCTTCATACAATTAAGATAATGACGACACGTTATTGATATTACGATTTTAGAACGTCGTCTGCTGCCCTTTTCTTAATATAGATTTTCGATATATCGCAAACATGATAATGCTTTAACCCACTCTATAGCATAAAAAATATTAAAATTATAGCAGAGCAGACAAAAACAGTCTACGATTTATTCAATGTTGAATTTAAGATTGCAAGAACAAATCTAGATTGAATTCATCGATATTTCGTTAAATTGCGTGCGCATCTAGAATTGCCTACATCTTGGATTGATTGAAAAATATTGTAAGGTATCATTCGGTACAATTTAGTGAGATTCCAAGTCATCTTTAACGAAGGCAGTACTGATTTCGAAAAATTCAACTAATTTGACAATAAATTAATAATTGTTAACGTAAGGAACGATGAAGTGACATCTGCATAAGAATGACGGAGTTGTTTAATTAAAAGATAATGAAATACTATCACTTATAATTATTCATTTTTCGAATGAAAAATATACTGACGAATAAAAGATGAATATTTGATATTGACAAAGATTAAAATGATTTTATTAAATATAGAGAGTTTTTCTGTACAATAAATAAAAAATACCAGTAACCATAAACAAAATATAATAGGCAGAAACATTCCGGATAATAAATATAAAAGATTTTAAATAGACTTAACTTGATATTTAAAATATCTCTAAATATTTTCAAACAGTGTGAATCATAAGCTTACATAATTACACTAATAAAAATGCTATGCAAATATATAAACGCGACAATATGCTATTGTGGTTACGCGTTATTAGAGGCTTTACAATGCCTATAATTAGTTTTTAGTGGATGTCGTCGAGATTCAAATATAATTGGACGTTGTCAAAAAAGAACTTCACACGATGACAGAAGACAATGATGAACTCCAATTAAAACACAGTTAGTAAACGTGTGGATGTGTTGTGGAGGCGTATAATCGTTTTAGGATTGTGCAAATGCTTTTAAAATTATTCTTTCAATCATTTTTAATCATGACATCATCATATAACATTTTCCATTTAAGGTAAGATACTTTTGTATTCATTCGACAAGATTACTAGCTTGATTAGTAAATTGAAGAGACAAGGTTATTGCTATTAAATTTACACAAATGATGAGCAGATGTGTTCTTGAGTAAACCATCGTGATGTAAACTGTAGGATGCCTGCTAAAAGGAGAGAATAATCATTGATGTTTCTTTTTAATTATGATAACTTATAAATGTTACGAAACTCTGTTGTATAACCTAAAATAGGACTTGCTGTAAAGAAATCGTATGGAGGTTCGAGTTCGAGACTGAATTTATTACAGCATGTACAGAATGATGCAACTGAATTATTCGTCTTGTATG